TATTGGATATATCGACGACACGACGATGCTGGCTACTGGCGACAGCGAGCGCGCCAACTGTCAACGGCTGCGGGAGCACTACCGACGTGGGTGCCTCTGCTGGGCCGCCACTCATGCCTCCCGATTTGAACCATCGAAGTTCCAGCTCATTCACTTCCACCCCCCGGGCCGGCGGGCCCGGGGCGATGCCGAACCATCCACCCGAGGCAGCGGGCCGGGGGAGCCGCTGGACCTAGGCAACGGGCAGGTCGTCGAAGCCAGCACGACGGCCCGGCTCCTCGGGGTCATTCTTGACCAGAACCTCACCTTTGAGGCACACCTCCAGCATGTCGACAGCGCGGCCACCCGGCGCCTCCAGGCTATCAGCGCGCTGGGCGGATCCAAATGGGGCCTGCGGCTCCGGGAGCTTCGGCATGTGTATACCGCCTGCATCACCCCAATCATGCTGTATGCCGCCTCCGTATGGTACGCGCCACCGGTCCGGGGCCGGAAGCGCCTCCATAGCCAGCAGATGAAGGTGTTGAACCGAATCCAGCGTCGAGCCGGGAAGCTGATTGCGGGGGCCTTCTGAACAGTCAGCGGGGCCGTGTTTAATGCTGAATTGCACCTCACCCCGATGCCGCTGCTCCTCCGATAACGCTGTATCTAAACCCTTATCTGAATTGCTACCACTCCGGCCTATCGAATGCACATTCTTGATTGTCGCCGACACCACCGGAACCTGCTTTTACACTCGCCGCTGGAAACTGCAGAATAAGAAGTTGAATTAGCAACTGGTGTTGACCCTAGGGAGCTGGAGACACGCTTACTATGGGCAGTACCTCCGTGGTGGGAGCCGCTGGAGGTGGTGATTGAGGAGACAAAGGAGCGGTCAATAATCCACCATGATATTCACTGCATTGCCTACCCCGAGGCCATTCGGATCTACACCGACGGCTCCGGCATCTGCAGACGGGTGGGCACCGCCGCGGTGTGCCTGGACCCCCCTATCTGCCGACAACGTTACCTGGGGATGGATGCTGAGCACACGGTGCCGGTCGCGGAGATTGCGGGGTTGGTGCTGGCCCTGCGGCTCATTAAGTGAGACCTGGTGCCACGTGACGCCTGGTGGTCACCGCCTGACCGCGGCTCTCGGAAGCGGGCTGAGATTTATTCCGATAACCAGGGCGCGCTGCGCACGTTGCTCGCCCCAAAGCAGGGCTCTGGCCAGTATCTGGTTTGGGAGATGGTGGACCTGCTGGATCGGCTGGATCCAGTGTTGGACATATCATTCCACTGGCTAGCAGCGCACCATGGGGTTGCTGGCAATGAGCTGGCAGACCAGAAGGCGAAGGAGGCGGCTGGATGGCGACAGGGCATTGCGGAGGGGCAGTGTGGGCCCCTACCGCTGGTTATGCTCCCAGATCACCCTACGCGGGGCCCCCTAGACGCCTGGATCAAACAGCACACTAAGGAGCAATGGGAGGAGGCCTGGCGGCAGTCTGAGCATGGCAGACACCTCCAGTGTTACCTCCCTGAGGTCTCCAGGCATTCGCTCACCATCTACGATGATCTTACCCCTGTGGAGCGCAGCGTTCTGGCCCAGATGCGCACTGGGAAGATCGGGCTGAATCACTACCTCTCAAGTATTAACCGGGCCGATGACCCCCTCTGCCCGTGCAGGCAGGCCCCGGAGACGATTCACCATGTGCTATTCGGCTGCACCCGATACGATGACCTTCGGCAGGCGATGTGGACCGGCGCGGAAGGGACCCCCCGAGACCTAACAGAGGCCTTGACGGAGAAGCAGTATGTTCGACGGGCCGCACAGTTCATGTTGAACACCGGCCGGTTGACGTATCTGGCGGAAGCCACTGAGCCGGCATGGCTCGAGCCGACCGCCCCCAGCAGCGGGCGGCTGCCGACAGCCCCAGCAGGTGATGGCTGACAAACCGTTATCACATACTATCGCATACTACTAGTCACTCCTGTCGGTGCGGCGCTGCCACTCACGGCCCCGGCCTGCGCGTCTGCGCGGCACCGGCTTGCCGATCCGGCACCTTTCAGTGGTGGCGCCCCCGGAACCCTCGCAGGCTTGGGAATCTGCGGCATTCCGAACGTGTTGGCGACTATCTTAGGGGGAAATGGGCCTGTACGGGCACCTAGGCAGGCGCGGAGGCTTCGGAAGCCGGTGATTTCGGCCTCGGCCGGAATGGATGGAATGACGGGGAATCAAGGTAGCGGCACTCACCGATTTCGGCCCCGGCCGGAATGGATGGATCTACGGGGAGTCAGGGTGGCAGCACTCACTGATTTCGGCCGGGGCCGAAACAGGGGCATCTATGAGGGAATCTACAGGGGGTTCGGCCTAGCCTAGGTGCCTAAGATATGTATAGACATTTATGTACGCTGGCGGCGTCGGTCCGGAAGGACGGCCGTCGGTTGGATAGTCGCTGCTCGCTAGGAGCCTCCGGCATGGCCCAGCCCGGTGCCGAAACGGAGTAAGGAATCAATCAATCATCAATCAATCAATCAATCAATCATACTACTAGTCACTCCCGTCGGTGCGGCGCCGCCACCTATGGCCCTGACCCGCGCATTGGCGTGGCATTGGTATGCCGGGCCAGCGCCCCTAGGGACTGGGCCGGCTCCATTTGGTGGTGACGCCCCTGGAACCCTCGCAGGCTTGGGAACCTGCGGCATTCCGAACGGGTTGGCGACTATCTTGGGGGGAAGTGGGCCTGTACAGGCACCTAGGCAGGTGAGAGGGCATTTAGATTCGGGAGCAAGGTAGCGGCACTCGCTGATTTCGGCCCTGGCCGGAATGGATCTACGCGGGAGTCAGGGTAGCAGCACTCACCGATTCCGGCCCTGGCTGGAATGGATCTACGAGGGAGTCGGGGCAGCAGCGCTCGCTGATTTCGGCTGGGGCCGAAATGGGGGAATCTATGAGGGAATCTACGGGGGTTTCAGCCTAGCCTAGGTGCCTAAGATATATATATATATATGTACGCCGACGGTGCCAGTTTGCAAGGACGGCCGTCGGTTAGATAGTTGCTGCTCGCTAGGAGCCTCCGGCATGGCCCAGCCCGGTGCCGAAACGGAGTAAGGAATCAATCAATCAATCAATCAATCGTTAAGGGAGGCAACTAAGTGGGAATGCTGAAGCGCCCACGGTTCTAATCTAAAATATCCGGCGCTTCGCTTGGCCACCGGCTGGAACAGAAAGCGCATAAGCGTACCGGGTCATGGAAGCAGGTCATTTCACATGCAATCGCTTCAAGCCCCGCGCTTCGATACTGCACAGCGATCTGTTGGTGTCGGCGATGCGCTTTTCTGGCCAGTCGATAACCCAGTCCTGGCGCGATGGAAGTTGAAGCAGGCTCCAATTTCGAATACCACAGATTTATCCCGCTGAGATCTTGTGCACAACCCCCAAGGCAAATGTTTCATTATTTGACTCAATCCCACGCCCTCGCGCCGGCCCCTCGTTGAGTTTGCTTGTCAGACGGCTTATACTCGATCGTGGTGAGGAGGGTAGTGGTATTCTTGTCTATTAGGTCAGAACTGGCTGGGACACGACCGGCGTGGATTTTATGTCGGTCATCCGGTGGATCAACTTCGGCTTCATCTAGGGTGTTTGTTGAATGTTGAAGCGGACTCCCAGTAAATGGAAAACCGAAAGGGAATTTATGTTTAGTCATCTAGTCGAAGCCTCTGCCAAGCGTCGGGTATCCTGCCAGTTCAGCAATATCATAGACCTTGTCTTCAGCGGCAAATCCTTTGTGACTTTCTAATCTTGCTGACTGCTTAGCGGGCGCCGACAGAATTGTCCACCAATATCTCCCAGCGACTCTAGAAGAAAACAACAGTGGTGCATGTTGCTCTGCTATCTGCAGGCAACTGCAAACCGCGTGGTCGATTGCCTGTTGCCTGGCTGGATATACTGTCAGTCAGTGGCACTATCGTGCTTTGGGTGGATCGAGACGGTGTTTCATCTTTCAATGACCTCGAGAGAACGCTGTGTGAGGCACGAATAGATCCAGTAAAGGCTGTGGGCTGGATACAGCGCATATTCCTTTTCTGTGTCGACCGTCTGTTTGTCCCTGCAGTTCTGCCTCCTCCAGGAAGAGAGCTTTCTAGTCCGGTGTATTGCGACCAGCCGTAGGCACATCCTCAGCCGGGAGAGGGACAGAGGTGGAGAGTAGGAACCCTCATTAAACGGAGACGGCGCTTCACCAAGCGTTGTCGGCACGAGCTACGGCCACTGACAGCAAGTGGGGCACGTGATACTCACGTCTGGGCCACCATTGGCTAGGCTTATGAGTCACCACTAGTTCAGAGATGAGGCCAATCTACGGAGTAGATAGTTACGAATCAATGCAGCTTCATCTTCCAGTTCCCTCATGAGGTTACGAGCCCCCTGCTTTCGTTTTTGAGTTTGTTTTAATTTCTCATTTATCGATTTCATCAGTCTGCTTTTATTAGCGATTTGACGCTGATTTTCATGTTTTTACAGACTTTTACATGTCTGACGACGAAGTTGAATTGAACCCACACTCCCCACCTGGAACCTCTGAAGAATCACAAGAAGAAACGAATCAGAATCAGAATTACGCTGCAGAAAGGGCGGACGTCACCCAGGCTGCGAAGTTGGATAGAGATTCTATACCAACGAGCATGGAACCAAATTGATCTGATGAATATTTCGTCATGTAGGTCTCTGTCTGCAGTCTAATAACCTTTAATCTATGTCTAAATATTACACCTGATCTAGTACAATCGCATGCTGTTGGTAAAGACTAACCACCATGAATCGCACAGAATTCCTGACCTAGATATAATCCACGCTCTGTGACCGCTTGTACAATTTACTCATTCTGATGCTGATGCTGGACTGTGTGACTGTGTCCTGATTACAAAGCCCCCTTTAGGACCCAGTAGGAAGCTATGTGCCATCTCGCACCCATCTCGTGCCCATCATCCACTGGACCCTCTGCTGTGACCTATCCAGACACTGCTTAAAACTGATTCTTAACACCCAGAATATCATAGTCCAAACAATGTGCGGAAATAATATCCTGCGCACTGACCACATAGTCAGAGAATTTCTTGCCGTTCTTGTCCTGGATATCCTGGCACAAGCAGAAGCTTGACTTCTTATCACGGCGTAGATCCGTCTTAGGCCCATCCAACCAATCTGCGAAAGCGTGAATATTCTTCACGTCGTCATTCGGCATGACCTGGCAGTGGGGGATTGTGAAAACACCAGGGAGTTGGGAAGGGGGTGACAGTAGAGTGTTCCAATCCTGCGTGTTGAGGTAGGACTCCAGGTCGTTGTCGAACTGGTAGTCGAAGCCGCCTCGGGTGAAGGCGTCGGCGGAGGATTGGATGATGTCCCAGGTGGAGAAGCCGTAATTTTCAATTTCCTGGAATGAGTTAGGTCGGTCGAACGGTATCAAGAGGGTGGAAAGGAGGAGGTTAGGGTTAACTTACTTTCCACCCGGGAGGGTTTTGGGTGTTTGGATAGGGTGCGTTCAGAAGCTCGGACTTCATGATGAGGCTGCGATGGTGATGGTCAGTGTCACGTCACGTTCCGATCCACCCCTGTGACATAAAACTTACGACTGAAAAAAGAAGCCTCGTCCGCCGTAGTAGTGCTTGAGACGGGCGTCGTTGTCGCCGGATATGACCGAGAGGTTGTCGACTGTAACCATTGGTATCAGCATCAGGCTAAAAGACAAGGGCCGCGATCACAGCAAAAAGAAACACATACACTCATCCTCTGTCATCGGATATGAAATCAGATAGACGTTCTGCTGCTTCCATGCATAATTGATGGAGAAGCACAGAAGCATCTTGTAGAAATAATCGCTGGCCTGAGTCTCCGATATCTGGGGCAAGCTCGTGTCCTGGTTGAGAACAGGAATTTTGTGATAATCGAGCCAAGCACCACCCGCCAAAACGTCAACAATGCTTTGACCGTTGTATGATCCTTGAAACATCAGCCTGTTGTTCAGGGTCACGGTCTCGTTGATAGCGCCTTGATAAAAATCTGCGGCAGCTCTAATAAATCAAACATCGTCAGCAGCAGCTCAGGATATGTCATGAAGATTGGTGCTCACGCCTCCATCTTGGCCAGATTCGCCAAGCTCTCATCCGAGTCCTTGACTCTCGTGTCGACACCACGCGCCACGCCGTTTATCGACTCTTTTAGGGTGACAATAGCTGGCCCACCGAGGATGCCCGCAATGATGCCGACGGCTGTCATGATCCCGTTGAGGAAGTCATGAGCCTCCATGTCATCAGGTATTATTCCGGGCCAGAAGGTGCCTTGCAGCGCGACTTGGAGACCGTTCCATCGTGTCTGGCTGACGTCGATTGCCTGGCGGAGGTAGTATAGATACTAAATGCCAAATAAGCCCTGTCGACCAGAGTTGGGGAAGCCGGCTTTTACTTGCCTGATTGACATTGGCCAGAGAAACAAGGATTACATAAGCGCGAGCACTGTCGACTGCGTTTGGGTTCCGCAGGTTGTTACAGTTGGGCCTGGGACAGAAAGTCGTCATTGTGCAAACAAAGCTCTGGCCGAGTCCCCATGGCTCCGCAAAAGTAGGGCCCAGGTCAGTAGAGGAAAATAGGTTATTATTGATCCAAACTAGGATCTGTCAATAGCCTTGTTTAAGAGCATTCCTAGATAGACTTACACTGGAAGTAATCACCCGCATGAAGTCGGTCCCAATACGATGACTTCAACCCCCAACCATGGAGGAATTGGTAATCTTCAGAGCATTAGTAAAGGTTCATGATACTGCATAACCTAAACCTACAATCAAGATCATTGCAACTTGCATGTTTTGCAAGTGCGAACGCCTCGCCCACTGAGGTTGGAAAGGACTCTTGATCACAATCAGCAAAGGTACAGAGTGTGTTGACAAGATGAGACTACTCACGGCCCAGCATTGCCAAGCAACTTAGAGAAACGAGCTGATACTTCCGCCAGAACATCTTTGGGACGGAAGGAATCACAATACTGTATGGAAAAACAAAGAAAAAAAGAAGCGGTTGATGGCAAGCATTCTTTACAGGAGATCAATCATACTTTGGGCACCTCGAGCAGTCGAGCTATTTATAAGGGGATTGAAAGAATAGTGATCCTTTTTCTTTTTCCTGCGGAAGTCATGATAGTCATCTGTATAGTCCATTAGAGATGCTAAGAATAAATAGAATTCAGACCCTGAATAAATCTATCATGGCTATTTATGTTACATCATTATTAGATTAAAAAAAGCTGCGCGTATAACTACGGTACTACCTAGACTAGCTAAGTAATGCTTATGATCCAATACATGTAACACGCTCTTAGCTTAGGCTGATTTTAATGGGTTAACTGGTTAAGCTATATATTTAAGTGTTTTCTAGGTAACTAGGTTCTTTAAGTAGTTCTTGTATATTGCCTCTTTTGCAGTTTCGCTGGGGCTAAATCAGTATAGCCTGTTAGCTAATGCTAAGAATAAGTAGAATTCAGATCCTGAAATGAATTAATTTATCTTAACTGTTTCTGTTAGATTATTATTAGATTAAAAAAGCCCTGGGTATATCTAGTTTAGCCAACTGGCAAGTAAACCTTATAATTTAATATATCTCCTTAGCCTAAGCTAACTTCACGGAATTAAGTCGCACATCTATTGATTTAAGTTTTTCCTAGGTTTTCTAGGTACCTTTGTTATATTGTTTCTTTTGCTGCGACGGAATCTGTATGAATATAAGAGCATTTGCAGTCCATATAATTAATCATATTGGTTCATTAATAATGTAGAGCCTGCTATTATATATCTAACTAACTAATGAAACAGTGGTGATCAGATAGATCCAATCTGATCCTTGCTTTCCCAAGAAACAAGGTAAAAATAAGGTTTCCAAAGTTGAATTTAAAGGTTTAGAGTAAGCATTAGTTAGGGATTCGTCATTTGACAAATTTGTGCCGCAACCGAGTACGTGACTCAAGTCTGACATGTAATTGGTCTGTAGCTGTGAAGGATTGGATATAGGCTCAAATGTACACAGATCATTAAATGCCGCAATACTACGTAGAAGATATAAATGTGGGTCATGGTGTTAATTTGTTGTTGTAGTAGTAGTAGTAGTAGTAGTAGTAGTAGGAATTCTCCTCGCTTGCTCACTCACGCGGCTCATCTCTCTCGCCGGATTCTACCTTGGGGGGCCCCAGACCATTTAAGCTGCACCGACACGCACACAGCCAGCTTACCAATCTACGCGACGATTGCTGAACGGGGACCTCACTAGACCCCGAAATCTGACCTCCTTACCCCTGAGAGCCATCTCCACGCGGCCAAACGCGTGTTGACCATTGTTTTGATCGACAGCTCACGGCTTCCAAATCGGGAACCCGCGCGTTGATCACCACCACCAATCAGAGGCCCCGACACCTGGGATTTCCCCACCAATCAGAGGCGCCGAACCCCGGACCTCTAAGACTCGGCTCCGGCCGTCTGCTGACGACGACCCTTCGGGCAGAGTGGTCACCTGACCGGATTAGGGCTCCGCCCCTCTCGTCAGGCTGCCTCCCTGCGCTGGGTCAGGCTACTCGTGGACTTTACTCCAACATCACATACTATCACATACTATCTTACATACTATCTTACATACTATCTCATACTTTCCACTGGGACCCAGTTGTCACGTCGTGATATCATGGCTCAGTGGCCGGCCCTAGTGGCTGGTGACGACTCTTCTATTGTTGATCATTCCTTCCGTTTTATGGTGCACTGTACGGATGTCATCAAATTCACTCAGGCTCACCCTGGCAGGTCCGCCAAAGCCCCCTGGGTCGAAGGTTTCGCTCAGCAGGCCCGTGCCCTAGTCACGAAGCTGCTGGATAGCCGATTCCGCGACGCGGTAGCCGGTGATCACGGCACGCAGGCCCCAGGCACGAACAGCGCGGGAGCAGGCGAGCACGGCTCAGCCACTTCCTCATCCATGACCCCCGGGGCCCGAGGGGTCTTCGGCTGGACCCAGCAGGTGCCGAGCGACCCATCTTCCCCCCCTGACCATCACCTTCCTCCCACCTCCTCCCCCCCGGCCGCACCCCCCCGCAATGACGAGAACCGCATCCGGATCCGGTGGCACGGGCATGGAAACGGCCCGGGCCCAGGAGCTAGCCCTTACAAGCAAACTGCCGCCACGGCTATCGTGGGCGAGATCCAGGAGGTTCTCCGCCGCAGTAGCCTCCCTGGCCTGGCCAGCGTGCAGGTGGCGGGGGCCCAGGTGCTTCATAGCAGCGATCTGGACATGTACACCCATTCTGCGTTGGATTGGGAGCGCCTAATCTGGAATGAAAAGGCCTGGCTCCAGGAGCTCCCCAAGGGCGAACATGCCTATATCACTAATCACCAGTACGCTGTCCTAGTCCACCATGTTCCCATTACCTTCCTCCCCTCCAGCACCCAGAGCGCGGTGGAGGCCCTCCAGGAGAAGATCTTGCACTGCAACCCAGCGCTCCGTGGCCCTATATTGCATGTGGGCTGGTGCAGGAATGACGCTGCGGCCTGGCAGAGTAAGCAGAAATCTTCCCTGGTGGTCTCCTTCCAGGATGCGCAGTCGGCAAACCATGCCATCCGGCACCAAATCTTCCTGGATGGCACCCCGCTGCGTACGGAGCTATTTGACCCACTCTGCCGGCTCCTATAGTGCACCCGATGCCTAAATTATGGACATGCCCAGCCCGTTTGCACAGCTGAAAGAGTTACATGTCTGTATTGTGCTAACGCCCACGACAAGAAGTTCTGTAAGGTTAAGGAAGTCCCTTCCCAGCACCGCTGCGCTGTCTGCCATGGCTCCCACCAAGCCGACAGCAAGCAGTGCCCCGTACGCCAACACAAGCACTGACTATCCTGAGATCAACTATGGAACCAACCCTATTTCTTTGCCAGCCCGCCCTAGCCTGCCGACCCAGCCCTGGACACTGGAAGGGCCCTAACATAGCCACCTGCGCCACCACATGGCACAGCCAGCATGGAGCCCCCTGGGCCTGAAAGGGCTAATATAATTAGCAAACCACTACCAAATCCAGAAGCCACATATTAACTAGCTGGCTAATCATCACCATCGCCAGCTAATATATTTAAAACTAAACCATGCCCCCCTATAAAGGCCCCCTACCACCCACCCATCCACCTAATAGTGGACGTCAGCCGCCATCTATCTCTATAGCTCCAGCCTACCCATTCCATGCAGACTCACTCCTGAAGCATATCACTAAAGCAGCCCTAGAAAGCAACTACGGCCCTGGAACCCAAGCCTTAACCTGCAGTAAAGGAACCAGCACCTCTGCTGCTGCCTGCCTATAATACTAACTTCTATATACCAGCGCTAACGCCCCCCCAGTTAGTCAAGGCCACAACCCCTAGATAAACAGCTAGTTCAGCCTCCCCACCCCCATCACTACTCTCTAACCCAGCCTAATGCATCCCTGGACTCTCCTCACGCATATTAAGTATGTTGAGCCTCTTAGTTATCTCCTACACACCTACCCTCCTGAGCAACCTCACCTGGGAGGTCCCTGAGCTGCCGGGGGCCCTGAGCATAAATATGGCCACAGCTGGGGCCGTCAGCCCGCTGTGAGCAGCCCAGACCTACTTAATACCCTAGTCTCCGGGCCGAAACGTCTAAAGATATCTACTAAGACATATGACACTGAAGACAACAGAACTACACAAGCCTCAGCCTCTGCCTTGGCTCTGCGAGGCCTGCCCACACTGCTCACCAGCCTGAGCCTGCCCACTAAGCTGGTTCAGACACCCAAGACACTGAGCTAAGGGGGCCCTGTCAAGCCCCTTCTGCCACGGCCCTAGTTCGCTCAACCAGGGCCTCCGGCGTCAATCACCAGCACTGGCTTATCCAGCACATCTAGCACATCCAGCACATCCAGCACATCCAGCACATC